TGTTTTTTGTAGTGATTGGTGGATGGTTGCTCTCGTGGTGGACGTATTGTAATGTAGTGTTAGGCTTTGTATACGGCTGGAAGGTGTTACGGCTAAGATTGAATGTGACGTCTAGGAAGTTGATTACTTGTTTGTTAGCTTCTATGGTGATGCGCAAACCGTTAGCGTTGAAGATGCGGCATATTTCTTTCTTGATGTTCTCAGGTTCTCTAGGCGTAACGTCAGTGATGGCAAGTCCGTCGTCCCGGTAGAGTCCCACGTTGATGTTGAGGTTCTGTAGTTGTGAAAGGAGGAAGCTACCGACAAGTTCACATGTTTCAGCGCCGTCGTAGCTCCCCATAGTTACGTCGAATGTAGTGTCGCCTTTCTTTTGCCAGGGTTGTTGCTTGTAAATTAAGATTGAGCTTTTAGCGTGAATAATTATTTTCTTTTCGTCAGCGGTGATGTTGTCATAATCAGATGCGAAATCGAGTGCTTTGTTCAGGAGGTCTAGGCTGATGGATGGGTAGAATTCTTCGATGTCGAAACAGATAAAGCTGGAGTTATGTTTATTGTCGATGGATCGGAACCAGTTGATAACCGCTGAGGTGTTTTTCCATTGGTTGAGGTCGTATTTATTCGCGATGCTGTTGTTGATGCGGTCAAGGATCTGTTTGCTAACTTTGCCTATTTCAGATTTTGTTGGATTGATAAGTCGGCATGTCGGTTTGTTTGCGAAGTTCGGTTTGTGATCTTTAAGTGTTATAAATGCGTCTTTGTCGGCCGTAGTGTCCACTCTGTCATCGATTTCAAGCTTTGTCGCGATGTCTTTGTTTGTTTTATGGATTGCTCGTGTTGTGGTCGGTAGGGCTTTTTTGTAGGATTTCGTTACGTTTTTCTCTAGTAAATCGTTGTATGTCGCTGGCTCGAGTTTGTAGAAGTTAGTAGTTTTATCTGCCGGGATCAGTAGCTTTGGTTCGTTTTTGATGCGATCGGTGTCTTCTTTTAGCTTGTTGAGGAAAGGGTTGTTCACTTGCTTAAATTTTACAGACTGTATCATCTTACACATGTCATCCTCGAAGTCCTTTAGTTCTTCAATAGGAGGAGGGTTCTTAGTCGATTTGAAGCCCTAGTTTTCCCTGGTTGTCGAAGACGTGCTTGGGTTTAGAAAGAAGTGGGCTTTCCAGCGCATTCTGCGTAGGAACTGCTCGGTCTTTTCGATTAGTCGTTGGAGATAATCGTTGCGTGATGGTAAGGGAATATTCTTGGTGGAGTAGCCGAGATTGAATTTTTCCATATTGCGGATTCTCGTAGAGTGCTCAACAAGGTGGACTCGGAGCAGTATAAGAGGTTTGAACTTGAAATCCGTAAAACAGTGCTCAATACATAAAGTAGAGCGAGTATACTCTTAAAGCGAGTAGACTCATAAAGAAAACAACATCAACTACTCTATCGCCTGGCGCATTCTATCTTCACACCTGCCGTACAACAGCTCAAGCAAACGATGCAACTTATGTCTTAAAGAAAAATTCCTTATCATCTGCCGACCTGAACTCTCTACACTTAACAAACGTAATGAACTCGTGTCTTCCTGCCGCCACAGAAACAAAGCCCTCTTGCGCAACAACTGATGTAACGAACCTCGCACTGAATAAATTATGTAAATCAGTCTAGTATATAAGTAATGGTAAAGTTATTCTCATTAAAATCCCCTGATGAGTGGGCAACCACGAAACAGGCTTGTAGGGATACTTATGTAGTTACTTGTTTTCTTCCGTCAACCATACGTATATATATAAACTTAAATAATTTTGAATTAGGAACTAAGTAAACTTACATTAATGGTAATTTTTAACAAATGAAGTTAACTTACAGAAATTTTCTTATTTTCTTTTTGAAGAGTTTAGGTTCGAAAATCAAAAAATCCTAGCAATTTCTTGACTTGTTTCACAAAGCCAAACTAACATCATTTTAAGCCCTATTTTGAGCTCGCTATTGATTTAAGCGCTCGTTAATAAAATAGCTGGTACGGCCTGTCTGCTTTTATGTATTAAACGGCTTACGGACGCAACGAAATTCACTCAATATATAGTTCACGAGACACAGCGACAAATGTTGGAATTAGCTTCACTTATCTCAGCGTGTGTTTTTGGTTTCCTTTTTGCGTATTTTGTGCTTATAGTTAACTTGATGTGCTTTGCTGTTTGGCTTGGCCGGGCAGTGTCTTGTCCCCCCTCGCGAAAGCGAATCCAGCCGGAGGCCGGAGACTCTCGACTCTCCTGCTGTTGACAAATGCCACAAAATGATTTCAAAAAAGTTTAAAATTACTGAGATCATTTTTTCTAAAAAATAAAAAATAAAAAAAATTCGCACCTCTGATTTCACAATTAAAAAAACAACCCCAATTGTCGGGCCCTCATGCGAAGGAGTTTGCCTCAATCGTCGTTAGAAAAGTAGAAGTTTTGGTTTACAATGACTGTTCCTCTGCTACCGCTTACCTCGAATCCCACAGAAAATAGAAAACAAACAAAGATATTGAGTTTTAGTAAAGTTTCCATTTTGCTGTAGAAGGTGATGTATAAATTGATAAATTATGACTATAAAAGGGCTTAAAATAGCGTCCAAATTAATAGGACCAGTGAGTTTTATTTCATACTTTAAGGCGAATTTTGCAACTTATAAAAACGATCAAAGACCAAGAATCAATTTAAATCTTCAAGTTTGTTATATCGTAACGAAAGTGTACGAAAAAGCACTGCAGTAAACTTATTATATGTAAATTGGATCATGGTTCATCTGTGTTATAATGAAAAAGATAAAGGAATCTGATTTCAGTTTTTTTCTGTCTAGATTTAAAACTCAGCCTAACGCAGGGTCGTCACAATACAGAGTGTAAAATATACCATATACTGTATTACGTTTTTGACTTTTACGGTTATTACAAGTAAGAGAAGAAAGTGATCATTGTACTAAAATAGAATAAATCTGATTCAGTTTCAGATTTGTCTTAAAAAACCACTCTGTTAACCACTTTGTTATTTAATTCCACTAGAGCCTATTATCTGATCTACTACATCATAGAAATTCCTGAATTTATGTCAGAAGAGAGTATTCACAGACAAAAAAGGTCACGTTTGCAAATCGATGCAAAGTACAGACACAAAGGAGTTAGTACACGGAAAAAAGAAGAATAACCGTGCGATCTAGTTTTGGGATTTGCTACAAATTAGACCGAAGGTGTAAGGCCTTTCTTAACAACACTTTTAGTTTAGGCTTGGACCTAGGAACAGTTGTTATCGGTGGTGAAAGCAGCTGAAAGTGAAGACCCATAATAAAAGTCTTAAACACGAACGAAATTGACGTCTTGTTGATATAAATAATATATGAATGACTCGTCATAAGTTATTGCATCATTCCTTTGGTAAAACGTACATGTTTTTCTACTCGTCCGAAAAATAAATAAACAAAATCAGGTAGTATGAATAATTAGTCTACAGTCGGCGGCTTTATTCTTTAATCACTTTTCACAGAGTTAACATCCAAGAGCTGTCGAGATCATGAAGTTCGTGGTTATCATTATCGCGGCGGCTTGTGCCAGCTTTTATTTCTGTGCGGCAGGAAATACTTCAGGAAATCAAGTATGTTGATCAAAAAAATATGACTGTTAAAGGAAAAATATAAGGTGCGTTGAAATCGGTTAATTTTGTTTTACATAGTTTCCTTTTTCCATGACCAAATAAACTACAACGGAATGGTTGTAGGAATTTTTCGATGCCTAACGCAAACAATATTATTGACACTCGCAGCAGACCAAAACAAATTCTTGGTTATAAGTCCTATAGCATAATTTGTTAACAAAGAGTAAATAACTCGCAACAAAAATGAAAATCCGCAAATTTCTCAGAATCTGTTAGAATACATTTTACAATTCTCCAAACGTTAAAAATTGGTCCATTAAGGAAAATCCTCAGAACTAAAGCGAATCCACAGAGTTAACTAAAAGGATTTCAAAATCTTCTTGCATAGAATGAATTCCTTAACTATTCAATCTACTTTTCCTTAATCAACAGAAACTTTGCGCAGATTCTAATCAACCAATCACCGTCAACGTTTACGGAAAGGGATGCCAAAAGGTAACATACAACCATTTCCTTTGAGACTACTTGTAATACTATATCTGAGAGTGAAGAATGATCATCGCAGTAAATTTTCCAATTAAAGCAATTGGAAAGAAGAAGCCTGAAAAAAATCAGGGCTTCAACGGGATTCGAACCCGTGACCTCCGCGTTACCGGTGCGTTGCTCTACCAACTGAGCTATGAAGCCACACATTGGGAGCGAGGTCAATTTATTGAGTTCATATCTCCCGTGAGGAGTGAAATGATGTGAAGTATATGAAATAATTCATTTTTGAACTGCGGTTGTAGATGAGAGTGAAGAATGATCATCGCAGTAAATTTTCCAAATTTAAATTTTTGTGTGGCTTCATAGCTCAGTTGGTAGAGCAACGCACCGGTAACGCGGAGGTCACGGGTTCGAATCCCGTTGAAGCCCTGATTTTTTTCAGGCTTCTTCTTTCCAATTGCTTAAGTTGGAAAATTTACTGCGATGACCATTCTTCACTCTCATCTACAACCACAGTTCAAAAATGAATTATTTTATTTACTTCACATCAATACTATATCTCTTATAAAATACTGCAATAGCTGCATAACATTTCACGTGCGTGTATCATGCATTTGCAGGGTGAAAAGGGATCAAAAGGAGACACGGGATCCAAAGGGGACAACGGAAGTCCTTGCCAATGTTCTTTACAGGTAAAAGCAAACAGTTGACAAATCGCTACTGGAATAGCCGTTAAGCAATTTTTTAACAGTAATAAAACATAAGGTAAATATAACGAAATTTTCTGAAAATTGTCTGGTTCACAACACAAGTTAACTCTGTAAGAAATTTCAGGACAAAAATATAAGTAAGCGACATCCTTAACTTGATCTATAAATTATTTCTCTGTGAATATGTACCACGTACATTGTTTTTTTTGTTTTACAGAATGCAAACAAGCCATCTGCTCATATTGAATCTGCAAACAAATTTGGAGTGACCTATCAGGCCAACCAAAGTATGTGTTCCTTTACCATCCTCTACACCGTCCCCACTCCACTAAAAAAAAGTCAAATAACATCAAATCACATTTTTTAGAGTGCCTCTTTTATAGTACAATGCATGACTATACATTATATTGTAATTCGGGGACTACCGACCAAAACTAATTCGTCCATTTGTTTGTTTCGAAGTGGATGGGCGAATATATACAATACATATCACCCATGGATTACAACAAGGCCTTGTGTATGGAACGCCAACACTGTCACATGTCTTCCGATGAGTATTATATGCATTCGGGACACCATGATATCTAGTACTCATACCTTTATGAGTGGTCCATCAATGAATATATTGACATATTTTCCTTATATACGGAGTCCATTAACAAATATATTGCGTGCCTACTGTGATATACGCAGTGTATTTTTCATTATATCGCGTGCTTTTGTCGATATGTACAGTGCACGTTTTACTGTGCGTTGTCAAAACTTCGTTATATGTGGTTCATTTTCTTATCGTTTGGCATTACGTTCACTACGGTTGACTGCTTGTGGACCTTAACGCAACATTGACCTCCAGCAGCAATGTTATGAGCAGTACAAAAAGTTTGATGAGCAAACTTTCTGATGATATACCCACAATTCATCGCAGGAATGTTAGTTTCCAAGCTCCCTCGTTTCCTTTGATCCCGCGCCATTTTTGAATCTGTCTCAAATACGTGAGTTTTTTTTCATAATGGCCGTTTCCATGATGTCATCTGTGTTAAAGAAAGTGAATCTGGGATATCTAGAAGAGAAATTTCAGCAGGAAAAAATAACACCCGATCTTGTTTGTAAACTCTCAGTACAAGAGCTAGAAAGTCTAGGGTTAACCTCTCGAAGAGACATGATGGCTCTCAGAATCGAGTGTGCAACGTTTGGAGGAGAAGCACCAAGGAAAGTCAAAGCAACTTGTGGAGCACCATCATTCTCCATTCCTAAGTGTGTTCTTGAGAATCTATTAGGGGAAGGTTTCACTATCAAAGAAATTTCTACTATTTTGTCTGTTTCTGAAAGTACTATTTACCGCAGGATGAGTCTCTTTGGACTAAGCAGGTCAGATTTCACAGACATTTCAGATTTGGAACTAGATCAGCGTATTGAAAACATTACTGAGGATTTTCCATACTGCGGAGAAAGTTTAATCAAGCAATTCCTGATCGAGAAAGGGATTATAGTGCAAAGGATGCGTATTAGAGATAGTTTGCACCGAGTGAACGGAGATGGAGTAAAGGCTAGGAAAAAAGGGCGCCTGCATAGACGCGTCTACGATGTACAGGGACCTAATCACCTTTGGCATATAGACACGAATCACAAGTTGGTGCGGTGGTACTTTGTAGTTTTTGGTGCGATTGATGGATTTAGTCGTCTGCCAGTAGCACTAGAATGCAGAAACAATAACAAGGCTGAGACTGTGCTTGAATGTTTTTTGAAAGATGTGGAAAACTACGGCCTCCCAAGCAGAGTGAGGTCAGATAAAGGAGGGGAAAACGTGTTAGTAGCTGATTACATGTTAACGAGAAGGGGTATAAATAGGGGCAGCATGATCACTGGCAAAAGCACACACAACCAGAGAATCGAAAGACTGTGGAGGGATGTTTATGAGGGGGTTCTAAGCATGTATTATCAATTGTTTTACTTTCTTGAAGACGAAGGGATGCTAGACCCATTTAACACGCTTCATATTGCTGCACTCCACTATGTATACCTACCGAAGATTAATGAAAAACTAGAGTTGTGGAGAAATGCATGGTCCAGACATCGCATGAGAACCGTAAAATCTTCTCCGATTCGCCTTTGGGTTTCTGGCCAGCTACAAAATCCGGTGGGCATTGAGCTGTCAAGTGCTGAGCTCCAATCTTATGGTGCTGAGGGAGTGTTGGACGAAGAGAGAGTTGAGGATAGACGCCCAATATTTGAGGTCCCAGGTGCTTTGAGTGAGCAATGTTTTGAGATTTTACGTAACCAAGTCCCTTCAAATTGGACATCTTCAAATTATGGGATAGATGTATATTTAACGGTGCTGGACATTATTGAGAATTTAGAAGCAAATGGCAGATGATTTGCGAGTACAAAGCACATAAGAGGACCAAAATGTAGCCTTAGCCATTTCATGCTAAAAAGCTGGGGAGGAGACTGTGCTAGGGTTAGCGGGTAAGGAAAATCATAAAAATGACACAGGTTTGCATTACTAGCAAAAAGTGCTCGGCAAACGCCTGAAGTAACTATCATTACCCCTATTCAATTTTTGTGTGACCGTGCATGTAAAAACAGATTATATGACAACCATTGCCTTATCAGGTACTTCATCAGATTCATTGAGTAGTGCCAAGTTAGTTTAGGGTGGGTGTGTGTGTGTGTGTGTGTGTGTGTGTGTGTGTGTGTGTGTGTGTTATTGGAATACCTGTCTATCATTGTAAATCATAAAATGCACTTTAAGTTTCTCGGTTGAAGACAATTGTATATAGATAGTTCTCAGTTATTATCAGCGTTTCGCGTTACGGTTGAAATTACTCTTCCTATGTAAGCTATGGACATTGTTAAGAACGTTATTTACCCCAACGTATATGATACCGTCCCACGATGTGGGTGACAAAATAAATCAAAATTTGTTTACCGTAGTCAAGAAAGTTGCCTTTATTAAAACTTAAACGTTTAACTGTAAATGCCAAACCTTAGTCGTGCAGGTAAATAATAAAACTCTAATAGAATAGTGTTGCAAGGAACTATATTTATGTTATGAAATGGTAATGTAATTTCTATTTCGATCTACACAAGAACAATAACATCACAAACAAATCAGTCAGTCCATATTATCGATCCTGTTTTGTTCCCCCTCATTTCAACCAATCTTTAAATAAATGCAAATGCTTTCCACGGCTTCTCAAAACCTTTCTTACAAAGAACACAATTAAGGAAAATGGTAAAGAGCACATCACACAAAATGGTTGAGGGTTTGACATGTAAGAAACCATTGGTTTTAGCTTCCAGTAAAGTTATAATGTCCTATTTTTTTATTGAAATTTTATTTTCCTTTGTTAAAAGCCATTATGCCTAACAGCAAAGGAAATGAAATTCACAACAAAGATAATAATGTCCGATGGACAACTGAGCATAAAAAAGATGTATGGCTTTCATTAACCCAACGTGCTACTTCATGACGTAAAATTGCCTCTGTATGCCATTATATCATTATTTTCATTTACATGTTACCAAAATATGAGTTTAGAAATGCATAATCAAAAACTTTGAAAAGAGCATACTCATATGGTAGGGGTTTACTTATTGTGGGCCTCACAAGCATAAGGGAATTAATGCATGTGTTGGCTGTAGGAACAAAACCATTTTCTGCATCAACAAAAGCAATGGAGGGGTGAATGGAAAACCCAAGAACCGGTTCTTCTTCTGCACCAGTTGCGAACTGGAGAATGTGTGAAAGGGTAACATTCCCTCTTTGTCCAGCTGTCAAGAGAATAGAAATGGGTCAAACTTTAGCAATCCTAAACAACCACAACATAAATAGTAAAAGTAATAATAATAACCGTTTTGAACAGTTTGTTCAACAGTTCGAATGGGTAAAGCCACATGTGCAACATAATTTGCCTACTTTGCATTCCATTTTTTTTGGCTTAGCATCATTTTCTTTGCAGAGACCACTATTGGAATACATGTATCATGATATTCAATAAACAGAGTGGAATGTTAATTCCAACAAGGCAATCTGTTCCTGATTAATGATTTCAACCCATTCCCAAATGTACTTATAACTTTTGTCTGTGAAGTTACAAGTTACCTGCAGCCCTATGCAAATACTTCACAAATTGTCTGTACACTGCATCCTCAAACTGCCTTCTGTTAGACCCCTCCACACTAAACTCGAGTTGAAGAAGATGAGTCACCTTTTTCAAAGTCAAGACACTGGTGGGGTTGGGGCGTAAAAGATGAAGAAAGATGGGAAACTCATTCGCAATCTGTAAGAGAAAAAGATCGCATGAATGGTCCTGTTGTACCTCTGTTGATAATGCTTTCATTCAAAGAGCAATAACATTATGATTAAAATATACCTGAACAATTCCTAGCTTGGAGAATCCATTCCTAAGTTGCTCTGCACACTGGTTGGGATTAGGACTGAAGAATATTTCTTGGAGATTCTCTTCACCAATAAATCTTGGCAAAACTCCATTTTGAAGAATGCTGAGTCCTGTGCATAATAGGAAATACAATAAAATCATTGATGATCAATTCTAGCATCCCAGCAAATATATTTTTTCTTAGATACACTGTGCACATGATAGCACTCTTTTGATACCCAATATTACTATACATTTAAGAAGTTTGGGAGATGGGGGTGGCGCAAGGAACCACTTTGAACTCAGAATTGTGAAACAGAGGGAAAAAAAACCTCATACACAGCTTTAGAAACACTTCTTAGGCTTAAACAGAAGAGCCTAGCATAATGCATGTCACAGCAAAATAAGAAAGTTCTGTCTCTCAAATTAAGATTTCTATAAAGGTCATTCATTTTTCAGACTTGAATGAAACAACAACATACCTAATATGACTCCAACTAAGTAATATGCCTCTGCTTGGTGGTTCAGAAGGCCATCATCAAAATACTTTTCCTTTATTGCTTTTACGCATAGGGAAAAGAATTCTTTCCGTGGCCCTCCAAAATCTTCAGCAACCTGGGGAATTAAGGATACATGTATCTCAAAACTTTAAACAGAAAAATTATATAGCTTTTAATAAAATATTATTATAACTAGTGGCAAATCATTCTTATGACATCTACATAGATCAACAAAATCTTTAATATGATCTACACCAGCTGAGAACATACCTCCCCATAAAACTGTACTTCCAGAGTAAGGAACAGATTTTCCAGATCGGAAATTTCATCAAAGGCTGTTTCCAGCAAATGCAATCTGTCCACCAGTATGTAATTGGTAATGCCCACCTCACATCTCGATTCATCCAGCACGTCCAGAGTCCTCCCTCGAACAAGCTGGCTTTGGACATACCTCAGTATCTCCACAGGATTGTTTAAGATGTCTGTCAATTTAAGGATAAAGTATAATTATTTAAAAATTATTTGTATCCCCTATTTACAAATTTAATACAAATAGTTTTCCTGCATATAAAGTCGCCTATGGAAAGGCGTATTTTTCACAATATTGTAATGAATGGGATGGTGACAAGGAGGTAAACAACCTTCCAGGAAGCTATTATGGTGAGAATAACCTCTCGGCTAAATACTAATCTTATTATTATTATTATTATTATTATTATTATTATTATTATATTATCAACATCATTATTCCAATTGTCAGTCTTATTTTACTGCTAGATCATCGAGGAAGGGTGAGGGGGGGAGGGGAGGTTTGAATGAGAGAGGCCAATAAAACCGGAGGTCAAACCCATAAGGTTTTTCTTTAAATTAATTCATATAAGCTAATTTGAGTACTCAGTTACAACTCTATTCTAAAGTATTATACAATTTCCTACAAAATATTTGATGTGGGATTGATACAAGGCCCCAGTAACTGTAAAACTCAGAAAATGATGGAAAGCCTAGAAAATATTTTATGCATGTTGGTTATGTATTGGCCAAGCAAACCACCACAAAGCTATCTTATGCACCTCTGCTGCTTCTGTTTAATTTTGTTTTTTCAATGCCTTATTGGCATTATTTTTCTTTTGCAATTAAAAGAGCATTTCAGAAATATTTCTGGTGTTCAAATTTTCTGAGTTTTGCAGTAAATTGATACTACATGGTCAAAATAATATAAATGAATCCAACCTGTAGAATAGATGTGCTCTTTTATCTTTGGCATTATCAGTGCAATGTCAACATCAAACTTCTCCATGGTGATGTGGTCATTATTGGTTAGAGGTCCCAAGCTAGTGCCTTCCAAGGGATGAGCTGTGGACTCTGTCTGACTGCCAATGAAGTGGGTTTCAGATATGGTAGAAATACCTTGAGAGGAAGAGGGACCAGCTTCAGCTTGGTTGCCATTGCCAGATGAAGAAGGGAAGGTCAACATGGGGCTACTGTCACTGGACTCTGTCTGATTGCCAATGAAGTGGGTCTCAGATATGGCAGAAATGCCTTGAGAGGAAGAGGGACCAGCTTCAGCTTGGTTGCCATTGCCAGATGAAGAAGGGAAGGTCAACATGGGGCTACTGTCACTGGACTCTGTCTGATTGCCAATGAAGTGGGTCTCAGATATGGTAGAAATGCCTTGAGAGGAAGAGGGACCAGCTTCAGCTTGGTTGCCATTGCCAGATGAAGAAGGGAAGGTCAACATGGGGCTACTGTCACTGGACTCTGTCTGATTGCCAATGAAGTGGGTCTCAGATATGGTAGAAATGCCTTGAGAGGAAGAGGGACCAGCTTCAGCTTGGTTGCCATTGCCAGATGAAGAAGGGAAGGTCAACATGGGGCTACTGTCACTGGACTCTGTCTGATTGCCAATGAAGTGGGTCTCAGATATGGTAGAAATGCCTTGAGAGGAAGAGGGACCAGCTTCAGCTTGGTTGCCATTGCCAGATGAAGACGGGAAGGTCAGCATGGGGCTTCTGTCACTCGACTCTGTCTGACTGCCAATGAAGTGGGTTTCGGATACGGTAGAAGTGCCTTGAGAGGAAGAGCAACCAGCTTCAGCTTGGTTGGCATTGCCACATGAAGAAGGGAAGGTCAGCATGGGGCTACTGTCACTGTCTGATGCCACCAGTGGCACACTGGGAGATGGATAGGCACTGCCACCTTGACCAATAGACTCCACCTCCTTTGTTGAAACTGTGGCACTTGACAGTGCATTAGCCATATAATCTTTCAAATCATTTCTTGACTCGTCAGATAACACCATGACCTCATCTTCAATGTTGTCATCAAACACATTACAGTTACAAGTCACTAAGTGCGATCGAAGCTCGTTTAGAGGGATCTCCTTAGAACACCACATACACTTCTCTTTCAACTTGCATGTCAGCCTGTTTTCTTGCCCTCCTTTCACACGCAGGCTCTTCTGAATAGGCCGGAGATAAATCTTTGTTTGAGGCGTGAAAAGAGACTTCAACCCTTCTACAGATCAGGACGATTTTATGACTGCCAAATCACGAGAATTTGTTACACAACTCATAATTTCAAAGCCCTTGCCTTCTTTTAGCTGAGGGAAGCCGATTGGATGGCCATCGTCGCCTGGCATATCACTAGTAAGCTTCTCCACCACTTCCTCCTCGTTTTCATCAACAAAAAAATTGATCTTTTTTAGGCCAAGGCCAGCCTGCTGCAAGATCTGTTTTTCCGAGGAAGACGGCACTCTGCATGCTTGTCGATCTGCTAAACACACAAATTGACCTGTCCATGTGCGTCGGGATGGATTTTTCCTCTTAGCAGACTTTGAGGTTCCAGAACCTTTTTCACGGCGGCTGCTGTACGGCTGAAAAAGCCTCCTTCTTTCCTCGATCAACTGCTGAGCTTGAGAAGAGCCGACAGAGCTCGTGGAAGCCACATTTGTTCGCCTTTCTCCATCAGCGAACTGTTTGCAATTTTCTTTGAGGCGGACGCGGTCCCCTAAAGTCTCTACACCCAGACGCATCAGACTGCTGTCTGACATCGCCAGAATAACGTGTGGGTCGATTTTTTCATCTGCAAAGCGCTCGGAAAGCGTTGAAAGTCCAACTTTTTGAAGGATGGACTCCATTTTGTTCCAAAAATGGCGGGATCAAAGGAAACGAGGGAGCTTGGAAACTAACATTCCTGCGATGAATTGTGGGTATATCATCAGAAAGTTTGCTCATCAAACTTTTTGTACTGCTCATAACATTGCTGCTGGAGGTCAATGTTGCGTTAAGGTCCACAAGCAGTCAACCGTAGTGAACGTAATGCCAAACGATAAGAAAATGAACCACATATAACGAAGTTTTGACAACGCACAGTAAAACGTGCACTGTACATATCGACAAAAGCACGCGATATAATGAAAAATACACTGCGTATATCACAGTAGGCACGCAATATATTTGTTAATGGACTCCGTATATAAGGAAAATATGTCAATATATTCATTGATGGACCACTCATAAAGGTATGAGTACTAGATATCATGGTGTCCCGAATGCATATAATACTCATCGGAAGACATGTGACAGTGTTGGCGTTCCATACTTGTGCGTTAGTAGAAATCACTGTCAGTGCCCCGTACAGCCATCTTGCTGGACGGATGAAGTACAATGATGGAAAACTGACTGTACCTACCAGTGGACGGTACTATGTCTATCTGCAGGTCTACTATCGCAATAATGGAAGGATCTATATTAGAGTGAACGGCAAACAAGTGACCATGGCTCTATCCCCTTGGCCCGGAAAAGGTGACCATGTTACCGCGTATGCAGCTGGTGTTTTTAACCTGAAATCTGGTGACGTCATCACGTTTGCTTCGGCTCACGCTAACTGTAAAATTTACATGTATACCTACCACACCTACTTTGGCGCATATTTGATTTAAAAATCTGATGAATATCGCGTGACAACAGCACCATAACCTCGAGAATTAAGGGACTACACATTTATTTTAAAAAAGTGCATAATTGCCGTGTTTAACGAACATTTTTTGGTAAAAAATGTTTCTAAGTATTGAGCAGTTTAGTTGGCGCAGTATTCTGTAAAACAACCTTATAGGTCATAATTAAGGCTCAGTTACTTTACTTGTATATACTGTTTAGCAGGAGACATCTGTAATGGATATTTTAATGCTGAAATAAATTCAACGATGGTGCTAAAGCTGTATGCATCAAGGAGTGAAAATAGGACAAAAACAAAGGTGTTAAGGGACTGTATCGAATTCTTTTCTTTTTTCTGAATAAATAAATGTAGTGGAATGGTTTCCTGAAATACAGTAAAAGAATTATTTCTCGAATGGCATAAGTATGAAATGATGATCACAAACTATAAAGCGCCCACTTCCGCTTCCGTCCCTAATGGATAAATAGCCCGCAGTGTATTGTTGGTTTTCACATAGTGTCACGAAAATTCAAACCACAAAACTATCGATAGAACCGATATTTTATTTTCACGATGTATTAAGGCAGCTGAAAACTAATTTTCATACAAATTTTCGCTTCAAAAGGGTTCTTGGTTTTGTGATAGAGTACGCTTGAATTTCTAAGATTTTGCGTGACGCGAGAAATTACGTATTTCAAGGAACTCTGCTCTCTAAACAGTTCATGTATTAGAAAAAGTATTACTTTAATGTTTATGAGTTCCCCAAAGAATAAATTCACGCTTTTTTTTAGCAAAACTCAGGAACAGAAACTGATGTTTCTGTTGGTTTCCGTCCGCCATGTTGGTACTCATTCGGATGGGTAGCAGCATGGCATCTCCGTGACTAATCTCTATTATTAGAGACCTTAAGATACCCCGAAATCGGTGTACGGGTAACGGGTAGCGCCATGTTTTTTTTCATTTTGTGGTGACGTCATCGACCTTACCCAGTAGAACCAGCCGTTTTTCCGGGGTAGACACCAGTTTACCCGTAGAAGATTTACGAGTAGCTGCAAGTCCTACATGATGGAGAAACGAGTAAGTTTTTAAGACTTTTTAAGTACAAATGTAAATTGTATGACTCCTTGGCAATGTTATTGCAAGTCTGTTCGAATATTTTTGCCAAATTTGAATTTTAGCTGTAAAGAAAGCGCTTCAAAATGTATTGATTTTGGACCTCACGTGCGCAGGTTGAACTCTGGCACGATATCAATTTGTGGAGGTATTTGGGGCAGTTTCTGAGAATTGCTCGAACGTTTGAGTTTCGCAAAAGAAATAGCATTGAAAAATTTAGCATGAGAGTCATTGTTGAAGTCGACAATCAAAGGAATTGTTTGGTGATGTGTCTCGATCAAATGGCGGGGTTTGCGATAACAAGCTTTCGGTCGAGGGACTTCCCGCCAAGTTTCTTAAAATCTTTCTATGATATTTCAATAAGCTTATGTATGAATGAATTATTTGTTGCAGCTTGTTGTTAAGATATGAAGTGTAGAATTTGAGGGAGATTTTGTATGCATTAAGCGACATGCATGTACAAAGTTAATTTTGCGTGCTTGTTCTTCGGGTATCTTAATCGAAATTGTCACGCACATGAACATTTTACGTGTACGGGTACATTACCCGTACCCGTACACCGATATCGGGGTATCTTAAGGTCTCTAATTTTGTGAAACCATTTCCTCGGATATCTCGTATACGAAATATTCCTCTGACCTGAATCTTGGCGAGGGTCTTTGTATATTTACCTCCTTTAATTTCCCAGATTGTGGAATTTATCTATTGAACGGTTTTGATTTTTATTTTGATCTATTTTGAATGGCGTGACACGGAAATCTCAAAGCAGAGTAAGATCAGGGAGAGCGAACAATACGATCAATAAGGTTGGAAAGCCAAGACACTGCTTTATTTGGAATCTTTTACTGAACTAGTACATCACCTTCATGCAAATAAATTACAGTTACGGTTAAGGAATGTCACTTTTCGTTACACAAGGGGTAATAAGTCTGAGAGCGAACTGTGGGGAGGAAAAGGAGGAAATGAAAGATGTATGCTGACCGAAATTTGTCTCATAGCGCGAAGATGTTAATTTATTGAGGTGCATCGACTTCATCCAGACAACTTGAAGACACTAATTACATGTCAAATTGCTCTAGTGTATGACCATGATACGCTATTAACCTTCTTCTACTTTCACACTTTAATAGTGGGGTTGACGTTTTTCAGTGGTACACTATGATATGGCCTCTCTTTACCACACGTGATAGAAAAGTTATTTTTTCACGCGTAAAGCAGCTTCTAAATTAACGAACCGTTGGATTTAAATTTTCTTATAATTGAAAGCGATTTTTGTAAGTTTAGTGTATTCAAATTTGTTATATTGTACGGAACGACTCAACAATGGGCTCAACTTATCATATGTATATTGGATCATCTGTGGTACGCCAGTGGAAAAGATCAAACGAATCTTTTTTTCTCTTTGCTATTCTTTATTTTCGGTCCAGGTTTATCGGCTTCACGCACTCCATTCGTTTGATCTTTTCCACTGGCGTACCACAGATGATCCAATTTACATATGATACGTTGAGTCCATGAGTCGTTCCGTACAAAATAACAAATTTGAATACATAAATATTACGAAAATCGCTTTAAATTATAAAAAAATTGAAGTCCAACGGTCCGTTGATCTATCATGTGTGGTAAAGAGAGGTCATATAGAGTACCACTGATAAACGTCAACGCCACTTTTGGCCGTAAGGTTTTTTTAGTGCGACCATAGTGTTAAACTTCATTTTTTACGAGCAAATATACGCACGCAATAATGGTTATTCTGCTGGTTACAAAGTACAGACACAGAAAGAAAAAAATAATTTTCTTCACTTACAATCAAGCTACAGTCTCAGTAAAAATATTTGGCACACTTGATTGTATCCTCGCCTTCCCATCTCCTTGGGCTTCCGGTCCTGTTCAGCGGTTAGTCGTCGGCAAAGAATCTGAGGTCTAGTAATGTCGCGATAGACCGGGATGACGCTTCCGAAAGGAGTCCAGTGCTGAAGAAAATTCTCGATTAACTCTTATGCTTCCAGTTCTCGGCAAACCAACTCTTTTTCTTTTTTTCTACTAAGTCATGGCGAGCGGTATGAAATAGAAATGACTCCGGAATAACTTTCATGGCTTCAAAATGCCGCCATTTCGTGATCCGACCCCTTAATTATTGGTTGTGAGCACTAAAGAAAAAGGAAGAAAGAAGAAGCTTGAGACCCTTTTTTGATATATTAAAGCGCCTTTCATACTTTTATTTATCAACTATGAATATTTTTTGTTAATTTCAGGGAACATCCTAGATGTTGCTTTTACACACTGGTGTTAGACAAAGACGGAAGTCTGTCAGGTAAAAATGTAAAATTCTATGGTTTCAATTAGAAAGTTACAGAACAGAAAGCTCAAATAAGGCTGGTGAGGTTCCATGCTGGAGTATTTGGATAGTTTTTTGCTATTACTTTTGGGCTCAAAAATACGATTTTTTAAAGTCAAATGCAGACTCTGAAAGAAAATTGATCCCGTAACGTGAACTCGAGTGAACGAAATTCGCGCCCTTTGAATACAAATGAAATTGAAAGGCTTGTCATGCTTCTTTGCATAATTGTCAGGAGCAACTCTTCACTCGGTTAAATAGAGTCAACTAACGTTTCCAAAAATTGTCCGTCTCCTTCTCCAATTTGAATCGAGGTTCACGTTTCCACTGTTCTAGTTACGAGAAGATGCCATGCTTCCGACGCGAGAGTACGTTCGAGCCCGGTTCCTCGAAAATCATTACGCATAAGCAAGGATTAAAATAGTCCAAATTTTATTTGAGGTTTTCTTATGTAAGAACATTATGGAGCCTTTACTTGGAGATGAAGTTGTGGTAAAACAAACGAAGAATAATACAAAAATAAGGCCTTCTTAGAGGTGGGGAAGTACGTATGTCCCTGCGATGTCCCTATCGGTATTTTTACTTTGTACTTGCGTTTTGTGAAGTTGTGCAGAGAAAACAATGGCTAATCAGTGATCACTTAACTATCCCGCTTTCGCGAATGGCTTCGAAAGATCAACGCCATAAGAAATTGATAGTAATTAAACATTGCCATATACCTGGTTTATTAATAACGTATTCAGTGTAATCATACGATCCCTCCTAAGCCCCAAATTACATCACAAAGTGAAACTTAATTCTAACTCAATTCTCAACACGAAAGAAACTTGTCGCTTTTCAATGTAAATAAAGTGTGTCGGTTTAGCTTTTTATTCCCGTTGCAGCAAAATGTCGCCCGGTCCCAACATTCAACTGATTTTAACTAGTGTCTCGACGTTTTCCTCAGTTTTTAGAGAAGTTCATCTGAGTTGAATCTGAAGTGCTTTGTCGCCAGCGCAGTTGGCCCGGGCTGTACGGCAATTAAAGTGCGTCTTTGACTTTATATGTCTATTCTCTAATAAGGAACAATTAGGACCGTTTGTATGGAAAAATAAGAAATGTCTTAAATAAGCAAAGTCAAGTAGTCCAAAGCGATATTAATTTAACTCGAATTTTCTCTAAACGGTCCAGCGAAAAAATTCATAACAAAAACAACATCTCTTTCTGCCGCAAAGAAAGAAAATAATGAGTGTATATATATTTATTAAAAACTAAATCATTGGATAATGCAATTCTAGCATATTGATTGGCTTAGCCGTTATGGTATATGAGCTAATATACCATGTTCTCCATATATGGTCGGTGTACGCGTCAGTTTAAAATTGGAAGCTAGCTGAGATTTTTTTTCGCAAAGGATAGAACGGCGCCCGAAGCAAATCGTTTTAATTCATTTCTTAGAATACTAGAAATGCAATTTCAACGAAAGAAAAAAGACAAAAACAAACAAAAAAGCCACAAGAGCTTGTTTGAAAGTTTGTCGAAAAACACATGAAAACACATGGAACTAAAGTACCTTGACCAGCTACGAAAGAAGACAAGTGTTGTTTCTTCATGATCGCGAAGCCATTCGCCGATCGAGTCACTCGCCGATAGATAACTGCAGCTTGTTTATCCGACATCAAGAATATAAATCACAAGTAACCAGCTACAAATACAGGCTATGCAGCCATTCACTAGAGCAATCGAGGCGGCAGTATAGCTTCTTTTCTCGTTCAGCAAAACCAGCTTGTGGCTTCAAACAACTTCATAACAAGCGACCGAGGTAATACCGGTAGTTTTTCTCCGTTGTTCTTACTTTTATAACTGCACCGAAAATCCAAATTCATAGTAATTTCGACGGCTGTCACTTAAAAATTCCTTTCCTTCACATTATCTGCCAGGTTTTTTAAGCTGTTCTGCTGTGTAAAATCCTAGAATCACGATGAGTTTTTAAAAAACTAATGTTCATCGCACAATGTTTTGATTTTTCATTCATGCAGTCTAGGCGAGCCCGGTTCGCGCGTTGACAGTTTTGATAGACGTGTGACATGTCAATAGCGGAAGTCCCTTGTCTTTTCCGGTTTGTTCTAGTCGGGGCGATTCAACGAGATTTTGTGGGCGTTTTTAATAAAACAATTATTCCACTCGGGCTTGTTGGATATGAAATGATTATAGCCAACTCGGCGCTATGCGCCTCGTTGGCTATCTATCATCTCATATCCAACGCGCCCTCGTGGAATAATTGTTAAATATATATATATATAATATAAATAAACTTATTAATAAATAACTATGAATTAGGAACTAAGTAAACTACCATTAAATGGTAATTTTTAACAAATGAAGTTAACTTACAGAAATTGTCTTGATTTCTGACGTTGTCTTTTTGCGGAGTTTAGGTTCGAAAACCAACAAATCCTAGCGATTTCTTGACTTGATTCACAAAGCCGAACTAACATCATTTTAAGCGTTAGTTTAAGCTCGCTATTGATTTAAGCGCTCGTTAATAAAATTTTCAGAACAGCCATTTTACGGAAATTATTCGAAATTAGATTCTCATACAAACACTGTAATTTCGCACGCGTTTGCCTACTCGTCAAGATGGCGTCGAAAACCGTGACAAGGTCTATAGAGGACCATTGAATTTTATTTCATACTTTAAAGCGAATTTTTCGATCAAAGATCAAAAATCAACTTAAATCTTCAAGTTTGTTTTATCGTAAGGAAAGCGTACGAAAAAGCACTGGAATCAACTTATTACATGTTAGTTGTAAATAGGATCATGCACCTGTGTTATAATGAAAGAGATCAAAGGATATCTGTTTTCATTTTTTTTTGTCCAGATTTAAAACTCAGCTTACGCCGCAGGGTCGTCACAAAATAGAGCGTAAGATATACCATATACGGTTTAGACTTTTACGGTTATTAAAGTTTGGCCGTGAAGTTACAAGTAAGAGAAGAATTAAAGTGATCATTGTACTAAAATAGAATAAATCTCAGATTCAGTTTCAGGCAATGCTTTTGTCTTAAAAAACCACTGTGTTATTTAATTCCACTGGTAGCTGTGTTATAATATCTGATTGACTACTACATCGTAGAAATTCCTTAAATATGTAACTTATTTCAAATGGGAGTATTCACAGACAAAAAAGGTCGCGCTTTCAAATTGATACAAAATACAGACACAAAGGAATCATCTTTAGTTAGTACATGGGAAAAAGATGAATAACCTTGCGATCTAGTTTTATGACCTGCTACAAGTTGAACCGAAAGTAAAAGGCCTTTCTTTATAAAACGTTTAGTTTAGGCTAAGACCTAGAAACAGTTGTTATAGGCGGTAAAAGTAGCTGAAAGTGAAGACCCATAATATTAAAAATTCTGTGACACGCACGAAATTCAAGTCCTGTTTTAAGAATAATACATGAATGCCTCGTCATGAGTTATTGCATCACTCCTTGGTGAAAAATTCTTGTTTTTCTACTCTTCTTAAAAACATTTAACAAAATAGATAGTAGCCTACAGTCCGCGGCTTCATTCTCTGATCACTTTACACAGAGTTAATATCCAAGAGCTGCCGGTCGAGGTCATGAAGCTTGTTATCATTGTCGCGTCGGTTTATGCCAACTTGTGTTTCTGTGAAGCGGGAAATACTTTCGGAAATCGAGTAAGATGATCCACCGTTCTCTAAATCATTACATCGTCCGTGTGGTAGCATTTGCTTCTCCTTTAATATCGATAGATAAAAAGCCAATCGTACACTAAAATAGTCCGAAAATATTTTAGAGCTGATAGCTTACTTGGTTTTATTTCAAAAATTAATATGACTGCTAAAGGAAAAAAAGAACGTTCGTTGAAGCAGATCCATAGAGATTACAAAATGTTTTCAAAATCCTCTTGCATAGAACTCCTTAATTTTCCTACTTTTTCTTAATCAACAGAAAATTTGCGAGCATTCTAAGCAGCCAATCACCATCAATGTTTACGGAAAGGGAAGCCAAAAGGTAACATACAACCATTTTCCTTAGATACCGCTTGTAGTATTATAACTCTTGTAAATGCTCCAATATCTGTATAACATGTCACGTGTGTGTATCATGTATTTTTAGGGTGAAAAGGGCTCAAAAGGAGACACGGGATCCAAAGGGAACAACGGAAGTCCTTGCCAATGTTCTTTACAGGTAAAAGCAACAGGCTAATAATGAACATTATTATCGTGAATTATTATAAACCTTTACACCTGGAAAAGCCGCGTTAAGCAACTTGTAACAGTAAAAAAAAAAACATTAAAAAACAAAACAAAACAAAACCGAAAATAATAGACATGACGAAATTTTCTGAAAACTGTTTCAGGTTAACAGAAAAAATCAAAGAAGAAACTCTTGAGTATAATATCAGTAAACAACGTTCTTACTTTGTGTCTTACCTTATAAATTATTTTGCCTCTGCAAATACGTGCCACTTATATTGTTCTTTGTTTTACAGAATCCAAACAAGCCATTTGCTCACATCGAATCTGTAAACAAAGGACAAATGACCTATCAAGCCAGTCAAAGTATATGCTTTTTTTACTATCCCCTGTTCCGTTAACCATCCACTTAACTTTCGAGTCTGTCAATGCTCAAATAACGTCGAATCAGATTTCTTGAATTGCTTCTTGTGCAATGCGATGATTCAACTGTGAAGCATATTAAGAAGACAGATCATAAGAGTTTAGACTGTAATTCAAGGACTGTCGACCGAAACTCATTCGTCCTTTGGTTTCTTTCAAAGTGGACTGCCGAATATGATGTGCCATAAACATCATCATGAGAGGAGTCAGTGAAAATCACCCAAAATTAACATCAATTTTCTTTTTACCCTATAGTGATCAAAGACTGGTCTCTTACTGCCCCGTACAGCCATCTTGCTGGAGGGATGAAGTACCATGATGGAAAACTGACTGTGCCTACCACTGGACGGTACTATGTCTATCTGCAGGTCTACTATCACAATACTGGAAGGGTCTATATTAGAGTGAACGGAAAACACGTGTCCATGGCTCAATCCCCTCGGCCTGGAAAAGGTGACGACATTACCTTGTATGCAGGTGGTGTTTTTAACTTGAAATCTGGTGATGTCATCACAATTGCTTCTGGTTACAACAACTGTAAAATTCAGATGTCATCCACTCTCACCTACTTCGGCGCCTACCTAATTTAAGAATCTGAGTATAATTGCGTTGCAAAGTTGCAATTGCACCATAACCTCATGAATTAAGGCTTAAAATTTTAATTTGGAAAAAGTGCAAACTTACCATGTTTAAAAACTTTAAAAAGGTTTCTAGGTTTAATAAGCTTTTTCGTCGTAGTGGCTGTACTACAACCCGCCGCATAAAAATATATATAGGTCCTTACAACTCGCTTACATTAATACAGTAAGTAGTGTTTTGAGAGAGACATCTGTAATGGATATTTTAAGGATGAATTAAATACAAGGATGGTGCTAAATCTGTGTGGATCATTGAGCGAAACTGAAGCAAAAACAAAGGGTGTTGGGGACTGCATCAAACTCGTTTCTTTCATAAATAAATAATTGCATTGGAATTGTTTCCTGATGTAAGTATAAAAATGGTGGTGAGCAGATGTTTAAGCATCAAATGGTTCGCAGAGGGTGAAATATTAAATCATTTTTCAATTTTGATCAAAATCAGAGTGCTAGTAAGAAAAATATGTGTTCCAGTAAAATTACATTGTTTGTATGGGCCAAAAAATATGATCCTGCAGTTCTTAGTATTTGTTGTTGTCCTTTAATTAATGCTCACTCGAGGTTTCGGGATAATTTGTTCAATTTCACTTTCATACAATAAAATACACAAGGTATAAGGTGGCACGAGATGACATCTCAGCCGCCTACGCTCCCTTTCCAACACCACTTTTTCCACGAAATTCTAACTCCAAAGGGTAAATAAACACGCTAGGCTCGTAGAAATAGGACTGCCTCAGATGTAGAAACCAATAAAGCTTCTCGAGTTATCGAAAAGAATCCAGCAGACTTCGTGAAACACGAAGAAGAGATTCCAAAAATGGCCGATTCTACTTGCCCCGAAGGGGTCGGGCCAAGCTGTGGATCACTGAGCAAAATCAACTCCATCCTGGGCTCCCTGGGTAGCTTACTAGTTATTACTGGCCTAAAGTAAACCTCCCCCGATGGTAACATCTGCTCGAGGGCAACTATATGCACGTGCCAATTTGATGTTTTGCTAATCTTTTATACTTGAAACTGCTCTCAGCCCTCTTTCGTTAATCCTCTCAAACTTATCTTTTATCCTACTTCCAACAAAAGTGCCACTTAAACACGCCGTATGCCTAGTGTGTAAGGTGGAGGCGGACAACAGCTTTATGCATTTGGAGTTTAGCCTGGATCGGTATGAGCTTAATACGGCATCTGCCGACTCCAGCCCGCGAACTTGCCTTCTTGCACGCAGCTGATGTGTGCTCAGAGAAGGCCAGTTTTCCATCAATAGTGACACCTAATGCGTCAGATATTAAGTAGCTGGTATTGGCCTCCCGTCTGGGTGGTGAGTGTGATCAGTATGGAATAAACTTCATTTACGATATCCGCCATATTTGCACGCGCTCTAGGATCGATGGGATATTATTAAAAAGCTGTCACCAGGTATTTCAGGGGGCAAACATGTCATAAAATTTGCCAATACGAGCAATCGCGGCCGAGTTTGTTTATTCTATCAAAACGAGACGACGATTTCATGGTCATGCAAAGTGTACATATCGAGTTTTGGCAAGATTTACGTCATTACTGTTTGCCATGAGAACATCTAAGGTCGCTACTGCATACAAAAAAGATGAAAAGGTCTTCATTTCCTGTTGTCTAGAATAAACAAACTCAACCGCTATTTCTTCCATTGGCGTTTTTTTCACTTGTTTGCCTCCTGAGAAACCACGTGATATTATTTTTATCCCATCAGTTCCGCAGTTAAGCGCGTGCAAAGATGGCGGGTATCGTGAAAAATTGCTGCAGTCGTTGCTGAAACGTCATTTCGCGTGGAAACCAGTGGTGGTGTCGCTAAATGTCGGCTGTTTTCACAGGCTATAAGAATTACTGCGCAAAAATTACATTCATTGTAACGAAATCCTATTCGAAACCCTGACTTGTTACTTACATTGTACTTTACCCCCAGAAATAAATGTTTAAACACAATAAAAAAGCCAAAATGATAATAGAGAGAATAGAAAGCCAGTTACCCCAGCGAGGAAAAGAGAAACTGGCGAGGTTAGGTGATTTCTTTTTCTCGTTCATAAGTTTAGGTTAGTCACTAATTCAGCGTTCTGTCAGCTTGAACACGGCGAATCGTAGAATATTCCGCTTAATAAAGTTTGACCATAGACGGTTACGTGTACAACAGGAAAGCAGTCATTATACTAGAATATAACAAGAATCGCCATAAGGCGAGTTTACCGGGGCTGCCAATTTTCCTGGGGGAGGAGGTGGCTGCACATTTAGGCCACCAGGCTTGTCGCTGCATATCATGTGAGACTTTTAACAGTTTAATGCTCCTTTGAACAATGTTCCTTTTTGGAAGACTTTCGTAACAAGAAAAATGAGTCCCATTTTCGGGTCGAGGCTGTATAGTACCTCATCAAATTCTACCATTATGAATAAAAATATGCAAGTGAACCATTCTAATAGCGTTATTTTCACGCACCCCTCCCCTAATCCCTCTGCTCCCCAATATATAGTGTGACTTAATTGACTTAACCAGAAATTCCAAAAACTATAATTATAATTGTCGTTATCAAAACGCTGTTAATAACAAGCAGTTCATTTCTCAATTCTGTTTCTTAAAACCCCGGGCTTATAACTAACAAAGCAAATGAAATTTAAGTTTTGTTTTTGTCTGATATTGCGTTATAAAGGCTTTCTAACTGTCCTACTGAATATATATAGTATTTTTTTGGCTTGGTGATCTACAATGAGCACATTCCACAGGACATTAATTCCTTTCCGTGTAAGAAATGACTTTTCACACGCTGAGCAAGAATCGCAAGAAGATAAAAAGACGCTTTGGCCGTCACATTTTAAACGATTTAAACTTCAACATAAAGAAAAAAAAACTTAAAAGCGGCCCATCCTACCATCTTTTAAAAAATGGCAATGACAAAAAGTGCCAAAGACAGCTTGAGAGAAATCTTTATTCAGTGGGTGTACTGACACACACACTCCAGCCACAAACACAGAGAGATTTGCAATCACGTTTTGGAAGGGAAAAAATCATCCAAAGCTTTAAACTTCGACAAATAGTGAAGAAAAACTCCACAAGGTACTCATCGTAGAATCTTTTGAGGAGACGATCAAAAAGCGCTGTACGCTAACATCAAACACGTCTTCATTTAATGGCTGCCTTCGCTTAACTTGGGTAAGTACTTCATGTTAAGCCATCATAAGGTCAAAGGTTCTCCGTTTTCACGACATAAATCCCGGCGAAGAAACAAAGGAAGATGAGGCGGACGGTGCAGCCCCACCGCGACTTCCCAGAAATACCCCCTGAGAAAAAAATGAAACTCATTTTATAAACTGGTCTCGACACAGGCAGCCCAATTAATAATTATTCGGATTCAGACTATTGTTTTGAAGTATTTTCTATATTGTTATGAAGATTGGTGTCATTTGTGCCGACAAGTTTTTGAAAGTTAAAACCCTTTTAATGAGTTTGTTAACATAATTGTTATCTATGTCCTGAATGTTGTGTCACGCGTTATTTAGCTTACTTCATGTTTGTACTTGTAAGTTTAAGTCGTTTGGATTTTGAATACTAACCTTTTAATGGGTTTGTCAACATGAGTGTCATTTTATCTTGTGGTTTAAATAATATAAATTGGATGCTAGGCCTTGAAGTACGCATGAATGCTTGCGGTCGGGATTATAGCAGACCTTTGCAATGATTGTTACCTACATCAAGGTTCTTGTTTTGGTCCAACCTGAAGTGTGGTTTTCATAAATATGCTTTCATTGGTTTTCTTGTACGTGACATGATTGACCTTATGAGTTCAGTCTTGTTTAGCTTACTAAACCTCTTTGGTGATCAACAGGATGTGAAAGTCACTATAAAGGCGTTTAAAACCGGCTCTCGTGGTAAGCAAGCCCAAACTGATTTTTCACTTTCCTCGGTTTCCTTTGTCCTTCTTTTCTGGAAATCAGATTAAGAACTCAAAATTATTAACAGTAAGATACAAAAGGCAACAGCTTTTAAAGCATTGTGTTTTATTTCTGATTAAACTAAGATGGCTCAAGTACAAAAGTCTCTAGGTTTGTTTTGATATTTAACAGACTTTTCTTAGTTATTTTTAAGCTACATGTAGTTGCGTTTGTCCTTATTTTTCATTTATATACGTCCTGTTGCATCTAGAGCGATGCTTTCCAGGGGAGAGGAATGTGTGTATTTGTATGTTTGTACTTGTAAGTTTTACTCGCGCCTATCATCCTTGTAGATCAAGATTTAATAATCTGTATTTGATTTGGAATGTTATAACCTTTTTAATGGGTTCGTCGTCGTCATTAATCATGGTTTTTTTTATTAAACTGATTGCCAGGCCTTGAAGTGAGTATGCTTTGGATTATAGCTGACCTTGATTGCTATCTACATCAGAGTTCCTGTTTTGGTTTATGTTCCAGCTCTGAACTTTGGTTGTCAAGTTTTTATTGGTTTTCTTGTTCTTGACATGACCTTATAAGTTTTTCTTCACCCACTTTGGTAATCAACAGGATGTGCATCAAAATCACAAGGAAATGCGTTCGTGACTCTCATGTTTAGCAAGCCCGAACGCATCTACATTTTAGTTATTAAAATTGCCAATTTTTGGCTCAGTTTTTCAGTATTAACGATTAAGTTGAGCTGTTAAGTTAAACTTAGTCTGAACTGCTAAACTTTTCACAAGATTAATATCTAAGAGTTGCAAGATCATGAAGTTCTTGGTTATCATTGTCGCTTCGGTTTGTGCCAACCTGAATTTTTGCCAAGCAGTAACCACTTCAGGAAATCATGATCAAGTAGAACGATCTATCATTTCCTAACTTTTCAATTCTTAACTCAACTCAATTCTCTTACTTTATTATTATTGTTTTTTCTTTTATTTTATCTATAATATAGTTTGTTTGCTAGCATTTGTTTGTCCTTTTAATTCCCAAAGCAGTTGAAAAACGAC